GGTTATATTGCCCTTGATCAAGCCCTACCAGGCCTCTTACACCCTCCTCACCACTGATTTTGGATCACTTGTTCCCTTGTCCCTGGGTTTGTTACCACCACTTCCTTTCCCCCACCTCCTTTCACTTGTCCCCCCAGAACTGTCAAGCCCTGTTGTTTTCTCCTCCGGTTTGTTTATCCAGCCTGTCTTATCTAGATAGACCTGCAGAGATAATAATGTGCACAAAAACAAGACAGAGCAAAACAAAGCATCAAAAGAAAAGAAAAGAAAACAACAAAAAACCAATGACACACATAAAAGAAAAGCCTGTAAATAGTTGAAGGTCTGTTTGTTGCCCTTTAGGAGTGTTTTCCAGTAGAGACTGATGGGATGCCATGCTCTGGCCCCAAAGTCTATTTTTAGTACTCCCTCAGGACTTCCTTGCTCTGCTCCTCTTGCTGTTCTGTTGTACACCCTTAGTGTTTTGCCTCCGTGTGGTGGGGTCAGATCGGGTGCATTTCGCACACTGTGTCTCCATATTTGTCCCCTGTAGGGCTATGGGTTAGTGAGGGATGTCCTGTCTCATAGTGACGCCAGCCATATTTCAGCCCATTTTTAATGCAATTTTTGTGGTAAAATTAGGTGCCGATATTCAGTTCGGCTTAGACTCAAGTATATACAGTATGTTTAAAGAAAAACTAATGAGGAGTCTTAATGTAAATGGCATCATTTCATCATTAAACTCCCTAAATTTTCTCTACTTTGATTGTATGCTGAGTAAATGAAAGTGTTACTTTTAAAAAATAAACCACAGCTTTTAGGTTTACTTAACTCATTTTAAGATTCCACAGAAGAGGTAAGTAAAAATAGAGTTTCCATGCACTACCTCCTCCATCTCATCCAGATTGCCCTAGGTTAACATCTCGTATTTATGTGGTACATTTGTTAACGTTGACAACCAGTATTGGTGCACTGTTTTTACCTGAATTCAATCATTTGTGTTAGGGTACATATGAGTTTGATGTGATTTTGACAAATGTGTAATATCATGTATCAACCATTTTAATATTATACATGCTAGGATACAAATTTATGTAAAATCCTTTCACTACTTAACTATTCATCCCTCACCCTACTAGCAAACTTTAGCAACTCTTCATTTTCCTGCCTCTGTAGTTTGGCCTTTTTCGGAATGCATTTAATGCTCATCTATGCCCTTCGTGATCGATAGCTCACTTCCTTTTATTGATGACTAGTATTCCATGTTTGGATATTCCATCTTTTGTTTATCCATTCACCTCTGAAAGATTAAAATTTTTGACAATTATGAATAAACAAACATTCATGAGTGAGTTTTTGAGTGGGCATAAATTTCCAGTGCCTTTGGATAAAAGCTCAAGTATATAATTGCTAGCTGGCATTTTTATGAATATGTTTAACTTTGTAAGAAATTGCCAGACTATCTTCCAGAGTGGCTGTGTTCAACCAGTAGAATGAGAACTATTGTAGCTTCACATCCTCCCCAGAATTTGATGGTGTCGTTGTTTTTTTGCTTTAGCAGTTAATGCTCTCAATTGCTAATCAAAAAGTTAGAGGTTAGATCTACCCAGAGAAGAAGGACTTCTTGAAAGGAAGACTTCTACTTCTATCAAATAAGTCTTTGAGAATCGTGGAGCACAGTTCTACTTTGCACACATGGGCCACCATGAGTCAACGTCATGAGTCAACGGCAGCAAGTTTTTCTAGTAGCTATTTAGTAGTATCTCATTGCTCAAATTTGTAATTCCCTAATGACATGATATTGTGTTTATTTGCATCTCCATTTCCTCTCTGGTGCATGCTATCTGTTTAGACCCTCTGTCCCTTTTTGTATTGGGTTGTTTGTTTTCTTATACTTCTTTTTATTTTGCATACAAGTCCTCTATCAGATAATGTGATTTGCAAAGATTTTCTCCCACTCAGTGGCTGTCTTTTTAATCTGGGAAATGTCTCCACTGACCTTGTAGGTCACTACAAATCAGAATCATCCCAATACCAGTGGGTTTTCAAATATTGGTAAACTTTTGAAATTAAGTTCCTGAAGGCAAAGGATAGCCAAAGTAATGACTACTAATAGATTCGGTCAAAAACAACGGTCACGGCAACTATTTAGGCAGGATGTGCAAGGCCTTTTCCTGGGTAACTTTCTGGAGGGCCAAAGAACAAGAGCATCTGCTATTAGCAGAGTGTTTGAGAGCGATAGCTACAGCCTTTGCAGAAAATGCTCGAGAGAGTTTCTGAAGATACGGTCTTGAGCCATGAAGCCTGCTCATTACTCTCACCAAACAAGGACAATTTTGTGAGAATCTCGATGAAAAATTATTAACCATTTGTCTTTACATGCCTGGTTTGGCTCCTTCTGACTTCTTTTTGTTTTCTAATTAAAAGAAAAAAATTTTTTAAGTATTTAAAGGGCACTTGTTTTTCTCCTCCAGTTAATAATATTAAAAAAAAAAAAACACTAGATTGGCATGATCAAATTCCTAGGACCCTTAATTCTTTAGGAATGGGCTAAAAGTCTGTAATCATCTCTTACAAAAGTGTTTGACATTGAAGGAATTTATGTTGAGAAATAAAATGTATATTCTTTATTGTTATCTTTTAGTTGCACTTTTCCTGAACTTTTTCAAGTCCCCTTATAGAACTAAAATGTTACACAAAGCTTCATACAATTTACTGATTGCCAAAATCTTTTAGAATGACTCAAACTGTTATACTTTTGTATTCACAACTTTTTAAATCTAACCCATGAAAAAAGTGTAATAAATGCAATATTGAAAAAGTCATTTTTGTAATTAGAAAGTGTTATTTCTGTGGATCATAGTGTAAAATGAATTTATAATTCAGCTGTTTTTATTTGGGTACCTAAAAATGCTGTTTTATTTTTTATCTTTCAGTATATAAAACCCCTACATTTATAAATCTATATGATATCCATATAATCTATAGGAGATCCATATTTGTGCCCATTCCAAAGAGGACTAAACAACAGAAT